GGCCCTGGTCTTGATTTTCCACTGCCCTTCATCAGCAGCAGTCATTTTGTAGCAGAATAAAGTGGGAGCACAATCTTCTCAGCACAGAAGAAGCACACTTTACTTTGCCTTTCTCACTATTTTCCTGCTGCGGAGATACCAGGGAAAGGGGCAGTCGAGCCTGCTTGTCCTTGATCACTGGGACTTGGTCAGAGACCACAAACAACAGACAGCAGGGGAGAGGGAGAGCACCGAGAGAGGCCACCACATCTATCTTGTGCCAGGATGGGAGTGGGGTTGGAATAAAAACGTATGGAAGGCAACATCCAGTTGTGTAGAAAGCAGACTTACAGAGAACAAAACTCATGTCTTCCTTTAATTTGATTGGAGTCGAGAATTTTGCTACAATCAGTCAATCCCTTTGAATGTCAAAAGCAAACTCAATTAGAGCCCTAGATAATAAAATTTTCAGCCTGCAGTTCAGATTCAGCCACCTCCCTAAATCCTTCATGGCAAGTCAGCAGCAATAAATAAATAGAGACAGACAGACAGGAAAAAAAGCAGGCATCAAACACTACTGATCCCAAACAGCAGCAGTGTGTGGTGGCAGCAGATTTCAGCACACCACTGGGGCATTGCGGGTTTGGCTGTGAGGTGCTGCCACATTCCAGGTACTGTGGTTTTACAGAGTGAAGAGGAGTATGGCTTCAAACTCTTGCTTCATGCTCCCTGAAAAGGCACAGAGTGAACTAAGAGGCTCGGACCAGGCTTCTAGCAGAAAGAAAAAAGAAAGGAGCAGCTCATAAAGGAAAAGGCTACTTCCACCTAAAGCACAGAGCAAACAAAAAGAAGCAAAACAAAGTTTTATAGGTAGATCTTTCAGTTTATTCTTTTTAAGTAAAAGAGGAACAGTTTGTATGTGAATATCCAGAATATTCTTCCGGCTCAATATTTATCTCCTGACTTACATTCTCTTGCAGCAGTGTCTCTGAATTCCTTAGAGTCATTAAAGGATTTTGGCCTCAAGTCATTCCCATTAGAAGCATATTCAATTTAGAAATTTCCCTTCTGCTCAAAGTTTTGCCTGTGAAATTCATGGTTCAGATCCCTCCTCACTGAGAATCGGGTCAGTGCCCCATCCATTGAAGAGATGGAGATATTTAACAATTAAATAGTCCTCCAGGCTATGTCTGCACCACGAGCTCAGTAGCACTCTCAGCTCCTGCACAATGAGGTCCTTGGCCACGGGACCAGCTCTGCAGCCCTGGGGCAGCTGTATGTTGCTGAATAGCTGGGAATGAGCCCCAGGGTTATCTGGTACCCAAATACCTTTTGTAAGGTCCTGGGCATGGAATCAAGGGAGCGCTGGGGAGCATTGGTTGCCAAGAATTGAGAGCAACTTGGAAGGCCAAAGGAGGTAAGCACATTTCTTTGCGTGTTGAGAGATGACAAAGCTCTGCACAGTGACAGTAGGAAGTGAGCTGTTTCTCCATTCTCAGGCTTTTGGTATTAGGAATTTGCTCCCCACTTCCCAGAAAACAGGAAATTTGTCTTTCCAGACTATGTGTTCAGCAAGGAAGAAATGAATCTTCATGAGCTCGAGACATATTCCCTCTTCTTCTCTTAGCCCCTCACCCCCTGCCTCATATCTCTTCTATGCAGTTTTTCAAATAGTTTAATAATATTCACAGGGACATTAGATTAATTGGATTTTAATTCCAAATGACTGTGAAAGCAGAGAAGTGAGTCACCAGTCCATGCTAATGAGAAGATCTATTAAGTACCCTTCTCTGATAGACACATAGAGTAAGGTTATAAATATTTCATTTTCAATTAATTGAATTTTGCCCCCTGTTATATGATGCTGCCCTGGAATGTTAATCAGCTGGGACCAAAGAGAGAGAGGAAGAAAGAGTGGAAAAAAATCTGAGAGAGGCTTAAAACAACATCAGAGCCATTCCTGTCCCCAAATCCTCCCAGTTCACACAGTGCCCACACATCAGAATGGAAGGTTTCATACTGACCACATCTGGTTCCATACAGCGGATAAATTAATGTTAATTAATCAGATAGTCATTTCACGAAGAACTGTGTGCAAAAGGTTATTTGAGCCCTGCCACAAATGGATTTATAGGTATAACTGCCACATTGAATGACCTTCTGTACATAGGCTCATTAAGCTGACCATCAGTCAAGAGTCTAATGGAAGCAGGCCGACAGCAGGCCGCTGGGACCACATGGCTGTCTGCAACCAAAACACCCCAAAAAACCCAGAAGGCAGCTGGCAAAGCCCCACATGGTTCTGCATGCTATCCCCCAGGCAGATCCCCTGGGCAGGAAGGGGATGCTCCCCACCCTGTGGTCCCACCTCCGCTATTATTTCTGCTTGCTGTTTCATGTAGGATTGTCTGTCATTTCACAGCCCTGAGGGGCCTGGCACTGCATAACAAGGATGTGGGCAGCCACGAGCCACTTCCTGCATTTAAATAAACTCATAGTGATCACTTTCTCAAGGAAGGCCAGGTGGAGGGATGGTCTTCTGGACCAGGAGGGAACCAAGGGGACTTGTACATGGTTAGGAGTAGTAGTTTACTAGGAAATATCCACGTTATCTGCACCCAGAAGTGCTCTTAGACCTGCTGCCATTCCTCCCAGGCAAGAGGCACAGCTCCAGATCCTGATATGCAGGGAACCACACCGCAGCAGAAAAGCCTCTAGGCTGTCAGTCTGTGAACAGACATTAAATGAGGTTTGAGGGCAGTCTCAGAAATGTTTTATTCCCATCCTGTTCTTCCCTTCCACAGATTATATCAGTCATGTGAAAGAGGGTGTAACCCAAGCTTTTGAGGCATATAAACCTATTTGCTACCAATAAGGCAGCATTCCCTTGTGTAGTATTATTTTTTCCCATCTAATTAGGCCTTTCGTTTCCCACCAGCCCTAAGCAGAGCACATTTTTGGAGCCCGCAGCCAGTGCACCTTCTTTTTCAGCCCATTCACCCGCAGAGGGCACCAGCTGTCAGCATAACCATGCAGTGTGCATCCACTCCATCCCATAGCAGCAAGCAGTCTGAAGGCTGAAGTTTCCACCTAGCAGAAAATCCAGACATTTTGTGCATATCATTGCTGTTGTGTCTAAGAAGAAAGAGAGCAGGAGAAAGTGCAAAAGATTTTATTTTTGAAGCACGCACTGTTCATTTGTTCTCATGCTGAGGCACCTGGCAAGGCTTCCCACTTTGTTTCTAGGCCGCAGGAACTGAAGTACCTCAGTTCAGTGACATGAGAATGGCCCCTCAAACAAATCACGTCTGATTTTTCAGTTTGTAACTGAGAGTGATACCTTGTCTTAGGCAAGAATGCAGGGAATCGTGCTTTTCTTCTGTTCACAAAACGAGAAACACAGGGACTCCTTGTAACACATTTTTTTTAAGAACTACGGTTTGTTTTCAGTTGGTTTCTTCACTCCTCCTTTCACATATACAATCAGAGAGGTAAGCACAGGTTCACAGAAACACCTACCAATAGAGTAAAATCTATGGCCTTCTTACCCGCCTACCTCATTTCAAGCAATGCAAAAATCCCAGCTATGTGCTACGTACTCAGAGCAGCCACAAAGGGAGAAAAACTATCTGCCTACCTCATAACCCACACTTACACTGCCTCCTTTCCTTGGCACGCTCCAAGGGGACATGCAGGAATGTAGTCAGGGAGGGGGACAGCTCACAGGATACTAAAGGAAAGCAGTCTGTGCTTCCAGCCCACCAAGGAAATTGCTGTGCTTCTCCTTCTTCAAATATGAGCCCCAGAGCTAAGCTGAAAGGAAATTTCACTCTTCATTCAAGCCTCTCTCTCAAATGGACCTCAGTTTGTGGTTCAGTTTTAATGCTGCCAAATACACTGAAAAATAGTAGCTGGAAATTTGCCTTCAGTCCAAAGAGTGTGGAGGCTGTGTCTAATTTTTATACTCTTGTATAAAATAGAAACATTGTTAAACTAAAACAATCAATGCTTTTCAATTCTATCAGATGGTCCCATACTTCCCTCTCATAAACCATCCGGACTGTTTTTGTCTCTGTAGAAGCCCAGCTCTGCAGCTTTTTGCAGCACCAGGAGCCCAGAGAGTGATTAGAAACTAGCATTGTGCTGATAACGGTCTTGTATTTCAGCTCCTGGAGCACACCCAGGCCAGGACCTCGAGTTTCTAACACTTGTAACCTGCATTTCTGCTGTGGCTCTTTGTGTTAGCTCCTGCTAGCAGAGTCCCCCAGCTAGTGGTGACTGTTTGCAGGCTTTCTATCAAGCAGGAGTTTCTCCCCCTGAGAAAATAGCAAAGACACGGAGACTCAGCCCAATAGATTTAGAAAGGCAGCTCCAAAGTGAATGCCTTTTTTCAAAGGAATATTTTACAGCCATTTAGACCCAGCACTAGTTTTGCAATGTAAGCTGCCCAGTCTACAGTAACGAAGTATAGTAAAGATTTTAGATTCTTTTTTTTTTCCCCAGCTTTGAGATTAATTCAACTTGCTAGTTTCCTTACAATGCAATGTTTTGGGGAAAAAATATTTCAGATTTATTTCACATAATAATATAAACTCCCATGAATGGTGTTTACTCAAGCCCAGAGCTACTGTTTTCTGGCATAGCTACAGACTGAGAATACAAGATGAAAGGATATGAGTTTGCTCCCTAGCATTGTAGAAGCTGAAAGCTACAAGAGAAATGGATGGCATTAGAGTTAAGAAACTTCCAGTCACATGAAACACTGCAGAAGGTGCCCCACTGACAAGGCCTGGCCTCTCATACCATGCCACTGAGAGAGGTACTACAAGGACAAATGAGGACCAGCCAAGTTAGGGACAGGTTCTGCTTCCACAGAAATACATGGGGGGTTTCTTGTCGCTGTTTCAACAGGAGCATGACCTAAAGCTCATCTGCCTGTTCAATCCAGCAGACATGCAGAGTTCAAAAGGTGCAGACTCATTCACACATTTTCACATTTGACTTCCATTGATGATGCCGGGCAGTGACACAAAGCAGTTTGTTTATTCAGAACAATCTTTTAATGCCATCTCGCCTTCCAAATAAATTAGCGAATAAAATATCTAAATCATGAGGTGATCACAGGACAAAATCTTCCCACCAGAGAAAAGAAAATCAAACACTTTTTAACCTTGTTCTGGTTTCATTGATTTGTTTCCTCCCAAAACATTAGGACTCTGTAAAATTTTAATTTGCATGAATATCAGAGTGCAGTAAACAGCAGATTCTTCTCTCAATCATGTCGGTTACATGATCAAAAAGTACCAATACTTTAACAAGGGAATTGCTGCTACAAAATCCTGAGAAAAATATTCCTGGAAAAGTTTTGTTTCCTTCTTTCTTTGTTAGTTTATGCTTGTTTTGATGTGTCCTGTCAGTCTGTTTTTTCTGGGTAAGCGGATAAAAACAAACAAAAATACTAAAAAGTCTTTGCAGCAAGTTATCCCAAAGCACAACAAACCCTTACCAATGAAACCTCATGTCTCTGTAAGATAGGGACTTCACAAGCACTGAAAGGCTCAGTCACTCTCTGAGATCGCACAAGGACTTGGTTGTGACTCTTGTGATACTCACAACCCATCACAATCTTTATTTTGTACTGAATTAGTTATGATTCCTAAGATAATTACTGTTCAGATCTTGCTTTAGTGTTGTCATGCTGGAAAGTAACCCCTCCAAAAGATAGGAGGTTTTTGAGTAGAACTGATCCATTATAAACCCTTTTCAGATTTAACTCATAACCGTGAGCTCCGGAACTCAAAACTTGCATTGCTTTTCAGTTATTTTTGTACTAAAATGGAAGTGCTGCATCACTGTAAAACTGCAAAGTAATGTTGATGTAGCAACGAGTACCATCTGCATCATTAGAGAAGCCCTACTCTACAGGGTGTGCATCCCTTCTTTTGCTAGTCTTTTCTTTTGATTTGATTTTAGATGTTGGTCTAGACAGATGACAGTGTTTCCAGACACGTATTCCCAAGGGACTTGTCATGCCCTCATGCTAGCAGGTGCCACTTGGAGGAATGTGAAATACCCTTGCCACTGAGTTCAAGCTTCATCCCTCACCCTGGGGTTTGCCCTGCCCAGAAAGCTGGCAGAACGCAGCACCAGCACACTGAGCTCCTCCTCCTTTCTGTAGTTTTTTGCTCATGCCATCTCTTTTCTCAGCCAGTATATAAGAAGCCTTCCTGTCAGCCATTTCCAGCACCAGACTATCAGGCAGCAGATTTAACTCTGTGATTGCTACTTCCTATCCCTTTAATCACCAGATTCTTGATTAATAATGTGTGTATTTCTGTAAAAGGGCAAAAATGCCCGTGTGAAAAAGTTTAAATATATAAAAACATTTCATAAAAATACTTAATAAAAAATCAAAATGCCCTATGAGCCTGTAAACATAGCCTGTAAATCTCTGTTAACTGGAGTCATTTGAAAAGCAGTCTTTCAGGCTCTCTTCTGCTCTGTCCAGTAAGACTTTAAGATAACTTATATAAATGCCACTTGTACTTCAACACCCGTCACTCCCGTCTTCTTCTTTGTTTCCATTATGACAGATCGTTTCCCAGTGCTGGCAATTTCCTTTGGAGATATCATTTGTCTTTGCTCTTAACAGAGTTCTGGTTGGTCTGATTTTGAGGCCTTCTTACAGAGTGGGTTTGAGGTCTGATTGGTAATAAAAGCAAAACCAAGATGCTCAGAATGTGCATGTGAAAGTACATAGACCTGGAAACAAAAACAGAAAGAGACTATTATGTTTGTTGGTAGTAACATGAACTGAGTGACCTCATTAAACCCATGTAGAATTTAGTGCTACTGAATGAATGCAGAATTCATGAACATGACCTAGTAAGCACCAAAATAAAACCCCGAGTCTCACTCAGTCTATGCATCAATGAAAGTGTTGCCATAAATGTTAATGAGTCAAGGAATCAATCAGCTAACTCCAGAATCCAAAGTCTGAGAGCTCAGATATGCCCACGTAATTCAACCCTAGATTCACTCTGTCTCTTTCAATGTTAGAGAATGCAGGGCTATGTTCTGAAAATAAATCCTTCATGAACATCAGATTGTACCGGTTAAAAAGAAAATAATCAACTGAATGGGAAAGAAAAAAAAAAATTTCAAATGCTGAGATCTGAAATAAACCAAAACACTCACTTTTTACCTGAGGAAGGTAAGACATTGGCAGCTATAGGAGGGTCTTGTTTTTGAAGGCGACTACTCAGAGATACCTTTCTTTGATATCTCAGTAAATATCAAATATTTTTATCTCAAATAACTTCAGATGTACAAGATTGAACAGAAACCAAAACTATTTAGTCTAACCACATGAGGCTGTGGCTGCTTGGAGAGGTACCATTTTGGGAGCAGTGTGGTCCAGCTCTTAACAACGGAGATGCATCTTTGTATGGTCTCACACTTTTTTGCTGTAGTTATTAATATCCTCACAAGGTGCCTACTACCACTGTTGGGTATGGAAAGCTCCAAGAATTCATGTCCTAGTCCAATGGCCTAAAATTTCCTTGATTCTGCATTTAAGTGTTAATTACTTTAAAATTTACTCGGGTAAAAAAATACTAAAGTGATGATCCAGCTGGGGACAAAGGTGGAAAATAATATTCTTCATTTCATTCAAAACCTTCTTTTGGGTGCTGGCATAGTAGTACTAAATTAGTTGCATATATTTGTTTCTGTTATTTTAAGGCTAGCAATGTAATTTAACATTAATATTCACTACATGGAATCAGTTTTTGTTGCAGAAAGGGAACAAACTTTATGCATATGGAAAATTTATAAACGAGTTTAGTATTTTAGTCTTTTTTCTCCATTTTTGTTCTGATTGCTTTTTACTACTTTTGTCCTGAAAGAAGAAAATGTAGACATTAATATGGTGCATGGAAAAGTGTTTTAGAAAAACTAGCAAAGATTTCGAGTCATTTTTGTATTCTAAATGTTCGTAGTCAAATTTTTATGAAAAAGGAATAGAAAAGCTCAAAATCTAAAACCTTTCAAACGGATTTACTGATGGCCACTATCCTGACTATCAGTTTTGTTTTTATGCTAGAGGAATGAATTCTCTTTCTTCTTAACAAAAACTGTAATTCTAACATTTCACTGTAGAATCAAAGAAAAATAAAGCTATACAGCCTAGTCTCATTTTTTAAAGAGGTAATGCTCTGTCAGGCACCTTCCTTATCTCCTGCTGATCAGTCTCCTCTTCTGCTCCACGCAGTTGGCAGCTGGAAACCTGTTCTCATCTCACCGAGCCCTTCCTACTGCCAGCTCACATTATTCTTAGCCTCTCCAGCTTTGGTCACTGCTAAAGGTGGTTGAGACCTGATTGTTTGGAAAAAGGAAGCTGAGTATGTGAAAAGTCAGATGAAGTGAGAACACAGAATGACTGAGAAATAAGCAAGAAGAGCTCTACCTTGCCCTTCATATCCTTTTAAGTTAGAGGAGTGCAGAAATCACTTCTTACATTATCAGATATCCTGCCCATGCTGGTCTGGAGTGCTGTAGTCAGGAAGAGAGAACTTACTTGTAAAACTTAATTGTGGGCTCAACAGCCAGCATCACAAAGGGTGCAACAGTATAGCACACCGCGAGCTGCGTGACAACCCAGGTGGCAACGTCATAGGTCATCTTGAGAGGCACTGATGAGAGGAAGTAATGTCTGCAATTGTTTCTTATCTGAAAGTCCAGGAGAAATAGACAGAAAATAGCAAAATTTATTTCTTAGGCAAAGTCACAAAAACATACTGTAGTGTATACATTGCACTCTGCACTGAACGTTAGCATGGAAAGCACTGAGAATCGAAAAGCAGGCAGAATTGCATTGACTGGCATGTTAAGATCCTGCAGTCAATCTGTGGTAAACAAAAAAGCGTCCCATTTTCTTCTGTTCTACTCACCAGTGAAAACTCTCATGTTATGTAACCTGGTCAATACCTCTGGGGTGGGAAGTTGTTATGATTTGATTTTCCTCTCTCCCATTTTTGTTTTAGTACTGCTTATCAACTGTGAAACCGTTACTTCAAATGAAAAAGTATGTGTTTATATTGGCAAGCATACTCAGCTCTCCACAGATTTTGGTTTAGCTTTTCATCTTTGAAATGGATCCTCATAAATGAGGGGCAAAGCGCATGTTAAGATAGCATGCTCAGCAGGGTGCTCTAGCCATAGGGGCTAATACTGACTGCTAGTTTAATGCACCTTTAAACTGACCTGATTATCTATCCATAGTCAAACTCCAAGTCAATAGTGGTGCTTCCCAGTCCCGCCCAAGTGGCTGGTTCAGCCTGAAGGGTCACCAGTGATAAATACATTATCAGTGACTCACAAAATCTGTGTGTCTCTTGAGTGACTCTACTCAAGATAAGGTCCATAAACAGAGCCTAGCTTACCGCATCAGCTGCATCAACATGATAACGGTGCAACTTAGGCTAATGCTCAGCCCATCACAGTGTCTTCTGAAAGACTGTGCTTAGAGCTGATTATAAGTCAGCACAAACACCAGGACATGAATTAGCAGAGGTATGGACTCAATCTTAACCTTGAATGCCAAGCTATTTTGACTGCATTCATCTAGCCAGTAGCACTACCAAAGTTCTAACCGGATACTCATGCAATGTTTTCTCTGACAGCCAGGGGCAGCATCGCAGCACACACAAAATTAGTGCTGACTACAACTGCTGGGATACTTGGTAATTAGCATTAACAAAGAACAAAGTTGCACTGAACATCAACCCCTGCAAAGGCACGACAGAGAGATCACAGCAGGGACAGGCTGCTTGAATGTGCCAGGGTGGTCCCTGCAGTTGATAGTTGGAGAGCATCTACTAAGGGCCTTGGAAGAGAACAACAAAAGGTACATACTGCTCTGGCTGCGAGTGTGATAAGGATTCCAGTGAGAAACGTAAAATAATATCCAGGATAGATACCATGCCACAGTGCCGACAGGACAAATGTTAAAGCTGTAGGATACCAAGGAGCTCTGTCATAACAAACACTGTGAAGGAGAAAACAAAACAAGTGGCTGAATCCAGCAGAAGAATGGAAACTGTACTTCAAATCCTCACTGTTTTCTTACATGTCTCATCTTGTCTCAGTTACAGACCAGGACATGAGCTGTTCTCTCTTCATTTATTTGGAAGGTTAGCTAGAAAGAGGTAGCATGCTTGTATGCAATGAGTATCCAAAAAGCACCTGTAAAGATACTTCCAGCACTCATAGCAATCGAGTAATTAAAATGGAAGAGAGCAGGCAAGATTTCTCATTCACTGTTACACCTCTATGCTGGAATTACACACTTCTCTACAAAACTCTGACGGTGAATCGAGAACAAGTAGAAGGACAAACAGACATCATTAGCCCACCCTTCCCTGGCAAACAAAAGTATTTTTAGGCACTGTCATCTGAGAGATGTTAGGAACAACAGGGAGTGCCTTTGGCTATTGTAAAGCAGGGGATTCCTGCTAACTTTAGCAGCCCAAAATCTTACTTCAAAGATGCAAGTGAATGATACCAGTTCAAGAATACACTAGCAAGTCTGTGTATCTACCCGAGTTTTAAATGAAATGTTGTGTTTCAAAGAAAATTGTCAAAATAATGCATTTCCTACCACATCATTTGAATTATGAAAAATTGTAGATAGTAAAATTAACTTAGCAGATAGTAAAACAACATTTAACAACAAAATTAGTAATGATAACCACAACATATCTGTGCCATCATTTCAGGCACTACATTAACTGACTCTACTCTGAGCTTTAATCATGCCCAAAAGTGTAATAAGCAACAGAAGATAGATCTAGATATGAAATCTAGGCTTATGCTAGCATTTACATGAGCGACAGACAGGGTTTAAAATTAGAAACTTCTTCTCCATATCCTAAACAGAGGCTCAGTAGCAAGCATCTTGTGATAACTTCAAGTTGGACTACATTCTGAAGATTTGGACTTCTCTCCAAGTTCTAATTGAACGGGATTCCAGTGGCCCAAAGAAGCTTGATTCTGATAGTAACATGCATGGGAAACATAGTTTAGTATAGCAAGAACAGTGAAGGCAAAGAGCAGCCTAAAAGATGTCAACAAAATGCTTTTACTCTTTGTTTTGGAACATCTGAACTGTTCATTTGTGGCTTTGGTGTTCATATATAAAAAGTGGACATTTTACATTTGCAGGAATAAAACTTTATAGAATCATAGAATCCTTAGAATTGGAAGGAACCTCTGAAGGCCATCTGGTCCAAATCCCCTGCAACAAACAGGGACACCACAGCTAGACCAGGTTGCCGAGGGCCTTATCCAGCCTTGCCTTCAAAGTCTCCAGGAATGGGGTATCAATCACAACACTATGTAACTTGTTCCAGTGCCTCATCACCCTCACTGTAAAAGATTTTTTCCTTATAACCTTAATCTGATTTCCTAACTTAAATCTACCTTCCCTAAGCTCATGAGAACTAATGAGAACAAGGCCATGTACAGGTGCTGCACTTGGGCAGGGGCAATCCCAAGTATTTATACAAACTGGGAGAAGAACCCCTTGAGAGCAGCCCTGCAGAGAAGGACTTCAGGGTCCTGGTGGATGAGAAGCTGGCCATGAGCCAGCAGTGTGTGCTTGCAGCCTGGAAGGCCAACTGTGTTCTGGGCTGCATTAAAAGAGGAATGGCCAGCAGGGAGAGGGAGGTGATTGTCCCCCTCTACTCAGATCTTGTGAGGCCCCATCTGCAGCACTGCGTCCAGGCCTGGGGCCCCCAGCACAGGAAGGACGTGGAGCTCTTGGAGCGGGTCCAGAGGAGGGCACTGAGATGGTCAGAGAGCTGGAGCACCTCTCCTATGAGGAAAGGTTGAGGAAACTGGGATTGTTCAGTTTGGAGAAGGGAAGGCTTCAGGGAAACATCACTGTGGCCTTCCAATATTTGAAAGAAGCGTATAAACAGGAGGGGGAATGACTGTTCACATGGGTGGACAGTGATAGGACAAGGGGGAATGGTTTTAAACTGAGACAGGAGAGGTTTAGGTTAGATCTTAGGAGGAAGTTTTTCACCCCAAGGGTGGTGAGGCACTGGAACAGGTTGCCCAAGGAGGCTGTGGATGCCCCATCCCTGCAGGCATTCAAGGCCAGGCTGGATGTGGCTCTGGACAGCCTGGTCTGCTGGTTGTGACCCTGCACATAGCAGGGAGTTGGAACTGTGATCAACTGTGGTTGAAATCATTGTGGTCCTTTTCAACCCAGGCCCTTCTATGATTCCCCTTGCTCCAGACTCTGTCTCCTTCTTTCCTGTAGTTCCCGTTTAGATCCTGAAAGGCCACTATGAGATCACCTCACAGCTTTCTTTTATAGCACCAAATACCACTACATTCCACTAACTGTTACAGGCAGAGGGAACAAAGAAAGAACAAAAGACTATACATATATGGAGATTCACTGTCAGTTTTTTTCAGGACGTCTAAACCCAAGCAAATTACTCTTCCACTACACTTACCGTTTTAGCCAGGCAGCTGTCTGAATATTCCAGTTTTCAATGTACATTTTAAAACTTGTTGCAGTCTAAGAAAGAAGTTCACGTGAAATGTTAGTATTGAAACCTGTAAAATAATACTTGCATTTTAGATTAGAGAAATGATAGACATGAAAAATATTCCTTCTAGTAGCTGATTATCATGAGGATTGTGCGACAGTCCATCATTACACTAATATATTTTGAGATGGAATTAAGAAGGTTGATTGCTGCTAACACTTGTCATTTGCTTTGTTTTGTAAATTTAAATATGCTTGATTATTTTTCAAATGATGGGAAATGTGAAAAGCTTTCTCCTTTTTAAAGTTTGGCCTTCCCTACAGTTCATAAGCAGCTTCATTTCTGGAAGAGAGATTTTGCTCCCCATTACGCAGTGTGGAATTCCCTAGACTGCCATTAAAACAAAGTGTTATGAAAACTAAAATAAATGCATTATTATTTGGAGAAGGAGGAAAATTGGAAAAACGTGGACAGAGTACTGACAAGACTAAATTTAGAACCTCGCTTTCAATCTACTATCCAAATTGAGAAACTGGAGTGGACTCCAGGGCCCTGGAGGAACTATTTGTACCTCCTCACAGCATCAGTTCCCCTAATCTGAGGGAACTGCTGGATCCTGTCCAGCATCAGCTCCTCTAATCCTAGCCAATCCCACCTGTGGTAGTTCACTGACCCCATTCTCCCTTGCTCCATGCTTTATGATAGCAGCCTCGCAGGGTGTCCTCATCAAGTAGGGATAAATAACTAGTCTCCAGTGATTCAGTAAAACTGCATCATTTTGTCCTATCAGGTGAAGTCAAAGGAACACTACAAATAAGGAATAAAGACAAAGGTTTCTGAGGGGAAATATTCAGATATATTTGTGCTTTCACACAAGAATCCTGAAGATTGGCACTTTACGCTCTGATGATAAAGTTAAAAATGATTAGCAATTCCCAATGCAGTACTGCCACATTTTACTTGCATTACTGCACCAGAAGAAGCCAAGAAAAGTGTAATTTCTCATCCAACTAACACTGACGCTGTCTTTTGTCTGCCTTTAAGTTCCCCTCACACCAGCAAGAAAGAAAAGGATCACTGGCTGCCAGAATATGTATGCTGCCAAGGTTTTCTTCAAATTCCCACATGTTCAAGCACTTGTCACATTTTAATGCCCTCACAACTCCTGTTACATGCTTGTCTTCAACTGACTACTACACATCAGTTCAGTTTGTAGTCATATTTACCACTCAAGTTCCCAATTCTCATGCAGTTCTACACAAAAAATTGGTGATTCCTGCTTAAAATGCACTTTACAGTCACACTTAAACTATAACTCCCAGAACTGCCATTGGCGTATAAAGAAATGCTTCAAGGTTTACGTGAAGTGACACTGTCTGTAGCCTCTCATTACATGACCAAACCAACTGCTGACTCAGACGTTCTCTCAAATAAAACTGGGAAATTTGCAAAGACACAGTAGACCATGACACCTGGCAGGGCTTCTGAGGCTAGCGTGACTCCTCTGCTTTACAATCCTGGAGATAATTTCTCCACTCTAAGCCCTATTATTTGTGTAATGGAAAAAGCCTCCACAGGGCCCATCGTTCAGCAGGTAAAGAGAAGTTCCTGTTTGTTTTGTTAACTTAACTGAAGAGCATTGCCTGCACTTCACTGTCCTCCTTTCAACATGAATTGCCCTAGCCCATCCAGCTGGGAATTGTCTGCCCCCAAACCAAATTAGATATTGATTCAAGATCTCAGAGTGGTACTTAGGGTGTGGTCAACATTGAGGAGTATAAAGCATTTCTGGGATGTGTATTCTGCACCACTCAATGAGAGAAGTGTACAGAGGATTACAATAAAAAAAAATAAAATTAAAAACAAATAAATGAAGAAAGAAAGAAACAGATAAATGATTCTGAGAAAGAGAGAATGTACAAAGATAGTTCCAGCTTTGGCATCTTCCAACATTTTTCAACTAAGAATTACAAGAGCTGTTTCATTTTTGAGAAGAGCTACTACAGCACATTTGCTTAGTCACACGTCACTCAGCCATAAAGCAATCAAATTGTTTTAATCTGCTTTTCCTTTTAAAAGCATAACTACAGAATTACAGAGGGAAGTTCCTCCCATTTCTAAAGAAAAGCAGCTTTTAGAAAAAAAATGTTCAGACATGAACATTTTCACATCCCCCTGGCATTCAGAGAATATTTTTTGGAGCAAATAAATAATGATGCTGGCCATTTCCAACATCAAAGGAAAAATACAAATATTTTACAAAAGACTAACAGACATTAAAAGCATGCTGCAGTAAGAAGAACATGTTTGAGAAAGCACATGGTTTGCTGGATAGAGCTGCTATCTAAGCTCAGCATGGCATCGGTAGTTTCCATTCAGGTTTCCCTGTATCTGTTACAGCTCCCACCCCTGATTGTCCCTATTTAGAAGAGGCACTCCAGCCACGTGCAGGAACCCAGCTCTTCCATGTGTATGTGCATTTTCTGCTGATGACAGCCTCTCTCTCACTACCACCACTCATCTCCACTGGGTTATGAAAGGGGAAGACTGCTTGAAGTAGATGGATGCAATACACCGCAGATGGTGAAGAATCATAGCTCCAAGCAATTTATTGACCCACTGAACTCAGCCACAATCTACAGTAATTGACTGCTCATTTATTAAACATCTGATTAATCATTTATTCGCCCTCTATAAACTATTTACAACTGCAACCTGGATATAGAGCATTACAAAGGCTGCGTGACAGATGCTTTTTATCTGCCCAACAGATAAAATACAAAACCTCTCCAAATTAAAGATAGGCAGCTTGGTGGCATGGATTTACTTTCATTCCAGCAAACTATCTATCTATCTAACTATCCCCACTATCATACTTATTTATCTGTAGTCATGCCAATGTGGCTACTCCTTTAACTCACCTCAATGTTCCAGATATTTAAGTTGGACAACAGGTCCCAACGGAAAGCACCTCTTTCGTCAACTCCACTGAATCCATATCCAGCTGCATTGTTGACTGCATCTGCTGCAATATGAAAGCAAAACAGGTCAAATCAGACTGCAAGTTTTTTCTTGCAGCTGCATATGGCACTAAGCATTCAAGCCATCTTTGTAGGACTTAGTATCTTCTCTTTCAAAAACAAGTTTGTATTGGCAAAGGGATGACCTAGACAAGGGGATTGAGTACACCCTCAGTAAATTTGAAAATGACACTAAGTCAGGAGGAACTGTCAATTTACCTGAGGGTAGGAAGGCCCTTCTCAGGGATCTGGATAGTTGGACTGAGGCCAATGGGATGAGGTTCAGCAAGGCCAAATGTCAGATCATGTACTTCAGCCACAACAACCCCAGGCAATGCTAAGGGCTTGGGGCAGATTGGCTGGAAGACTGTGTGGAAGAAACTGTGTTGGTCAAAGCTTGGCTGAACATTAGCCAGCAGCATGCTAAGGTGGCCAAGAAAGCCCATGGCATCCTGGTTTGTATCAGTAATATTGTTGCCAGCAGGAGCAGGGAGGTGATCATCCCTTTGTACTCAACATCAGTGAGACTGCACCTCGAGTACTGCTAAGTTTGGAGCCTCTCATTCCAAAAACAACGTTGAGGCTGTAGAGCATCTCCAGAGAAGGGCAATGAAGCTGGTGAGGGGTCTGGAACACAAGTCTTATCAGGAGTGACTGACAGAACTGGGATTTAGTCTGGAGGAGACTCAAGGGAGACCTTATTGCCCTACAGCTGCCTGAAAGGAGATTGTTATGACAGGCTGGGAGTTGACCTCTCTTCCCATGTAACTAGTGAACGGACTAGAGGAAATGCCCTCAAGTAGCACCAGGGGAGGTTCAGGCAGGATATCAGGAAAAATTTCTTCTCAGAAAGAGTGGTCAGGCACTGGAAGGGGCTGCTCAGGGAGGTGATTGAGTCACTGTCCCTGGAGGTATTCAAGATGTACAAGACATGGTTTAGTGGGAAAATACTGTTAATAGGTGGATGAATGGACTAGATGATCTTGGAGGTCTTTTCCAACCTTAGCGATTCTATGATTTCTTCTTTCTTGTCCTATCACTATTTACCCATGTAAAAAGTTGTTTTCCCTCCTGTTTATAAGCTTTCTTTAAGTACTGGAAGGCTGCTATGAGGTCTCCCCAGAGCGTTTTCTTCTCCAAGCTAAACAATTCCAAACATCGAGCCATTGACAACAGCCCTCTGGCTGCAACCATCCAAACAAATACTTTTCCCTTGAATAGCCGAGCCTTCAAATCCATATTTCTCCCATTAAGAGATAAAGATCCCATTAAGGGACCATGTCAGAGACCTTGCACAACTCCAGGCAGACAAAATCAGTTGCCATTGCTTTGTTTACCAATGCTGTTACTTTATCGCAGAAGGCCACCAGATTGGTCAGGCACTATCTACCCTTGGCGAACCTGTGCTGGCTGTCTTGTGTCACCTCTTCATCTTGCATGTGGCTTAACATAGCTTCCGGGAGGATCTGTTACATGATTTTCCCAGGCAGAGAAGAGAGGTTCATCAACCTGTAGTTTCCTGGGTTTTCTTTCTCACTTTCTTAAAAAGGGGAGTGATGTTTCCCTTTTTCCAGTTACTAGGGACTTCACTTGACAGACAAAAATTTTCAAATATGATGGAGAACGGATGGCTACTGCATCAGCCAGTTCCTTCAGGACCCTAGGAAGAATGTCATCTGGTCCCACAAACTTGTAGACATTCAGCTTCATGAGGGGGTGAATTGCTCTTCTCTTAGAGAAGGAGGGATTTTGCTCCCCTGATCCCCACGTAGAGGTTAAGGAACATGAGAGATGTGGGAAGCTTGAATCCCAGTGAAGACTGAAGCAAAGAGCTTGTGAAGTACCTCAGTCTCTTCCATTTCTATTGAAGCCAGTTTTCCCTTCTTATATGTCAGTGGGGGTATGCTCTCCTTTGACTGTCTCTTCTGACCAAGGTAGAATCACAGAATTATAGAATTCTTAGAGTTGGAAGGTACCTCTGAAGGCCATCTGGTCCAAATCCCCTGCAACAAACAGGGACACCACAGCTAGACCAGGTTGCCCAGGGCCTTATCCAGCCTCCCCTTGAAAGTCTCCAGGGACAGGGTATCAACCACAAAACTATGTAACCTCTTCCAGTGCCTCACCACCCTCACTGTAAAAGATTTTTTCCTTATATCTAACCTAAATTTATCCTCTTTAAGCTTGAGATACCTGTAGAATTCCTTTCTATTTTACAGATCCCTCACCAAGTTTAGTTCCACTTGCACCATGAGTTAATATTTTCCCTAAAAAAAATGTCTGGAAGTCCCAGCACTTCCCAAAGCTCAGAAAAACTGTACTGTCTCCAAGACGCATTCACCATTTCACTGAGAGTTACAACATGGTTGTTTTAATTAAGACTTTTATTCTCACTTAGCCAAACAAAGCCTTTTACTAAACTCATTGCTTAGTGACTCATTAAGGTACCTGACCATCTCTACAAATGAAATACTGAGTAACTTAAATCACAGAATTAACAACTAGAAGTCCAAATAAAAGCTTGGGTAACAGTAGGGCTTTCATTTATTGCATTTCTTTCTGTTGCAGTTAAGCACAGTTCAACTCCACAGGCTGAAGTTCTTGTAGTTTCCCAAGGCACTGAGTAACTATTTGCCCTTGCATGGAAGCCATTTGATCACTGGAGCTCAAATCCTGCTTGTAACATACCCCTACCAGAAACCTGTTATCTATGTAACAAAAAATAGGAGGTGTTCATTATTGTGTAGATGCAGCCACCAATGAGGATATAGAAGAAAAAGGAAAGCAAAAATACAGCTAAGGCTTTTCTTTCTAGATCAATTACAAAATATAAGCTTGCAATAAGTCAAGCTTTAAAAAGGTCAGTGTTTATTTCTGGAGAGTGAAAACTGATTTTGCTATGTAAGTGCCAGGAACACAGGCATAACTTCTCGAGAAACCCCCAAGTGAAAAAACAGGGAGAGAACTTAATTAAAAGCAACAGTGGAAATAAATAAGTAAATAGATAAATAAATAAACAACACTGTCTAACTGGACACTTTCCATTTACTTTCCAGTTTACTAAACAAGCTAGATTTTATTGTTGGAAAGAAAGGTCTCCCAACTTTTATATCTCTCGCTGTTTAAAAAAACAAACACAAAACAAACTTGTTGGAAATTATATTTACTGTATGGCCTGTCAACACCTTGCTATGAGACACTGAAAAGCTGCAAGACTTATAGGATTCCACTGCTAATAGACTGTCTCTGCCAGAGGAGGTTTGTTCCTCCTTGCTTGATGGGTAGCAGGAGCTACTTTAGTGCTTTTTTGTCAAATGCAAGAAAAAAGAAATCCAGGGGCACAGCCACACCACAGATATCCAAGACTCTTGCTTCACATGCTAACATCCTATAGAAAAGTGTGGTTTGAGCAAATTAATATCTTAACTGTCCAGCCTTCCAATTACTTGTGAAAACCCAATCTCCATGAAGTTCAACAGGGGTTTCCCTGCTGATTTCAACAGTTCTAGTATATCGGTTTTGCTCCACACGAACCCTTGGAGGTAGGCACTCAATTCCAAATTGCTTTCAGCAGCGGCTCTGAGTCAAGTTTGTAGCTACATTCACATTATTATTGCTAGTGCAGGGAGAAACTGAATTTTCTATCTTGCATCTGACTTTTCATCAATCTGGAGGAATTCATCATTGCAGTTCTCACACAATAGTATAACTGTCCCCTTCTAAAAGTAGGAAGTGCTTATCAGCAGTTTCAGCAAGCACTTTTAGAATGCCTTATGCCATTCCACAGAAAGCTAAACAGTGAAAGGATAAAATGTCTGCTGTTTTGTTGCCTGAATTTGTAATGTGAATAACAGAGACCTCAACCATTAGAATGCAATGCATGCTTTTCCCAAAACCCCTCCACTGCAAGATATTTCTGCAGCCTCTAAGGCTCACCCGTGTCCTAACTCAGTTGATCTCTTTGATAATGACCTGATAATTAACTAAGATGTTGGAAAACTTTTAGGTGACAATTTAATACCGAGTACCTCTAAAAACAAATTACTCAGCAAACAATTCTTTATCTCATAGCATTTAATGCCCCAGAGATGCTAATCCTCAATGCTTTTTTCTGGATCTGTCAATTTCATTTTCAGCATCACAGTGAATTTCCCTGGTTCTTTCCATGCTATCTCAATGATATTCTCAGATTCAACCTCGTGTGTCTCTGCAGAATCTACCTACACACAAAGTCTTGCAATATCAGCAAAAAATTCAGTCTCACAATTTTCAGCCTAGACAAGGATTCAAATTTTTGCACACAGACAGGAAAGGTGACTTCTAAAAGGAAGAAGTTAGAATAGAAAAAGATGATTTTGACCACTGAGCGAGCTGGATTCTAATATTGAAGTCAAAGCGATTTGCTTCTCTCAATATCAACTCTCTTCTTTCTCTTTTCATTTTCCTTGCAGAAGCTCTTGGATCCTTTCCATTGCCTTCATCATTCTCCACCTGCCCCATGGTGCTTTGTTCCTTTCTCAATTGCTCAAGGTTAGCACGACACAGTGACCTGGAAGTAAAGCCTAACTGCAGTTCCCCCCAAGAACCACAGGTTTCTAATACAGATGCACATGCAAAAGTCTCATAACAAAAGAGAGGTCTGTTCACATCGTAACATATTTGTAAGCCTGAGCCAGACTGAGTGTAAGCCTAAGCATGACTAATTTTAACCTCTCAACCCCACTGACATAAGCATCAAAATCGAGGTTTAGAAGAGGCAATCTTTTTTTTTTCCTATGAATATGTGTAAAAATTTAGTTAGCTTTAGTGTAATTACAAAACTTTGAGGGGAAATTGTTACATTGACTTTACATGAGTAAAGTTCCTCGGTGAGAAGCCGAAAATAGAGTAGTTTCCAGAGGTGGAGGATGTCAGACAAATTGGAAGAGATTTTATGCACATCTCCTCACTTCAGTGGGAACCATTGCCAGCAGGAGCATGTGCACATCTCCTGTGTGTACTACAGATCTACAGACTATTTTATTTCATTGCTTTCTCACTATATCAGACCTTTTCACCCTCCTTCCCACTTATGAAATGATTTGTTACAAAAATAAGTGGTATAGCCAGACTTACCTAACGTCCATGCAAAGTAATACTTTGGTTTTGCAGACTGTGTCACAACGTATAGGTAACCAAGTCTTGTTAAGAAGGGTGTTTTATCAAGAAATTCATTATCAATAATATATGCCATAGGAAAGTTCTTGGTAAGTGTCAGGAATAAAACAAGAGATACCAGTGTGATACACAGCTTGTACATCACCGCTCCCTAAAACATAAACAACAGTGAAATGTTAAGTAGAAGCATTTGCTTGCAGAAAGAAAAAAGCAGTGCTCATGACAAATAAAAGCAGTACTCATGACGTATAAAAATAACATTATTTGAGAACCAATAAAATTAGCAGTGACAACACTGACAATAATTAATTTAGAAGATGTGACCAAAAAAAGCCACAGTCCAAGCTTATTTCTAACATGCTTTACTGAACTAACTAGAGATAGGTACAAACAAGGAATAGAAGTGAAAATTGGCTGTGAACTTCAACAGAGGCATCAGTTAGTGGAGGTCCTAAAATGAGAAAAGAAACTAACAATAAAAGAAACCAAAATAAAAAGCTTTACTATATGCACTGTCATGTTTTGGAACGAAAGACTGGATTCCTCCTAGAAGCCAAAAGCATCAGTATTCAGTACAATGGCAGGCCTTACTGTCCAGCTGCCATCCAGATGTCTTCCTAAAATCACTTGTCAAAAAAGCATACATCTCATACAGCAGCATACTTTCCCATGACATAGGATATCTGCCACACCATGCTGCTTTCTATTACTACTCTTTAGCTTTTTATATACTAAAATAATTGCATCATTTCAGTAGTTAGAAGCTCAACTTCATTTAGACATCAAGAGCAAACACTGCTTGATACAGGCACAATAAAAAAGGTAAATGAGGCACTTGCGTGCCATGTAAAAATTGATTCATGATCTATCAAAAGATGAGAAAAAGTAATACACTTTGGAAAATATAAAAATTTCCCACTGTGCATTAATAAATTAATGCATATTTATTTTAAAATGGTTACAATGCAAATTTTAATATTCTCTGCAAACTTGAAGGTAACACAGTGAGGGCCTTATTCTGATATCAGTAAGACTAGTGCAAATCTGAAGTAGCATTACTGAAGTAAAGCATCTGGACGTACTACAGTTTCTAATTAGCCTAAAATAATTTCTTTATGGCATAATTTCTTTCCTAACATATGCTGCACTACAAGCAGGATTTGACTTCACCTTCTGATATGTGTGCTGTTTTCCTCATCTGTCTGGAGCTGAACTGCAATTCACAGCTATTAGAACCTGTAGAGAATTCCCACTGCTGCACAAAGGGCACCCACTGACCAATGACCCGTTCTGCAAGCCAAATATATTTGGGGAATTCAGGGGAAGATACAGCCCCTTCACCTCTGACCCTACGATGAAAACATCAGCCACTTTACAGGAAAAAAAAACCACCACACTGTAACATTTACTGGAAAGTTAACTCAAAAATGTTTTTTTCCTCTTTGTTTTTAATTATGAGAATCCTCTCTTCTCCCTTACAATCAATCTTTGTCATTTTAAAACTTACAGTTGGAGAAGGATCAGGAAGTCTGTCATAACCCTTCTGCTTCCAGTTCACTTCTAATAGTTTCATGTGCACATGCCTCCCTTCAATGAAAGCTATATAATCCTTGTAATTGCTGCAAGGTCCAGCTATGATGCTCATAAAATTGAGGAGATAGCTTAAATACTCCAGAAAAGAAGGTCTTGTCCTGTAAAAGTCATCCACACACAACAATAGAAAAAAAGATAAAAAGATAGCAAATGTTTAGGTGAACATTTTGATATGTACTGTCCGCCTCTCCTACCACTCTCCCATAGCTGAAAGCTAGCTTTATCTTTAAAAAAAAAAACTTTTTTTTTTTGAAAAGATGAAGCACAGCTTTTCTTATATCCCAGTGCTGTCTGGCAGATGGCAGTCAGAACAAGGGTAATGAGTAATGTGGAAGTGCACAAACTCAGGTGAACAAATGCTACCAATCTGAAAAGCTGTAGTTTTATTATGAGAAATCTTTAGCTTAAGTATCCACTCTAACACACTGACTTGTGTGCTATGAACCGGCCAGCAGCAACAACAGTGAGAAGCTGGTGCTGTTCTGGACATGTGCCCAGTAAGTCATGAGTCAGTAAGGGCTAGAAGACCACCAGCTAAGTAATGTCAGTCCCACCAAGCTGTGCAGTGCAACACTTTGTGTTGTTATGCAAACTATAGGGCAGGGAGCTTTTAAGTCGCAACAGAAAGGAGCTCTCCACCACTCTTCTGAAAGCAGCTGCCTGCACAGTTTGACCCTCCAAAAAAACGGGAAGCATGATGTGAGATATACAGGAACAGAATGAAGAGGCTCTCTGTCCTTCTGTGCAAATAAAGGAAGTAATTGCTGGTATTGCAACACGAACAGGAAAAGGAAGTAGAGTGAAAACATTTAAATCAAAAGACATCTGAAGAAAAAAGTCAGAGAAGGTTCATCGTGTTTGCTATTTCCATTTTGCAGGGCATAACTCACAAGTTCCTTTGGAGGTTTTAGCATTAGATGTAAAACGAAAAAGATTCACTGTCATTGCAACAGATCAGTGGGATTGAAAAGAAAGATATGCAGGGCCTCTAGTGTAGTTTCTAAAGTATTGAGCTACCTTTATTTATGTGGCAGAAAACATGAAGCCTTAAATTCTGTACTGAGATACACAGTGTTCTCCATTAATGTGCTAATAGCTCCCAGATTAAAAGAGAATCCAGAGCACAGTGTTTTAGGACTCTCCTGTCCAAGATACAGATGAGCATGCATAAGCAAAAACCTACTTAAAATTCTTTCTGATTTAAACATAAATTTCTAGCAGAAAAACTAAGCAACAGTTAAGCATTTGCTCTTGCGTACTTTTATTCTGAAGTGGAATTAGTTTGAATAAACAGTTAGCTTAGCCAGGATTTTCTGCATTCATTCTGTGGGTTATTGTAGATGCTAGTGTCCGAATGATACATTCCCTGCTGAAATAATTTCACAGAAAGATGCAGAGAACTATTTGGGGTAAGGCTCATCTTTTCTGTTCTGCAAAATAAGAACAGTGATTCGAGTTTCTGAGAGTAAAGATAAAAATAAGATTAAAAATAAAGTCATTAGTTTCAGCTTAGGTTGAGCATGGAGGTGGGTGGGGAGACATGAGCAATGTGTAAAGGAATGTACAGAGGATGAGTGAGAAACAAGAACAGACCAAAAACAGAGGGAAGACAAAAGGCTGTATTACCAAAGGGGATTTAAAACTCCTCAATTATGGTTTCTCTGCCACTGACACTTGAGTTATTGACATCCTCTTCTACATTATGAGCTCCTCTACTGTACAAGGAAAAAAAAAAAAAAAGCCTGTTTGGTGAGAATTTGACTGGAATTAATCATACGGTCACAAGGGCCCAGTGCAGCTGAACAATATGCTGTGAGCTTTAAAAATAGGCAAAAAGCTATGGGCCACAGCAAAAGTTATATAAACCTTCATACAAGATATTTGCTTCTCAAGAAAGTACTCTCTTAGTTTTAGAAATTCATAGGCAGATTTTTTGAGAGCTCTATTTTCTGTCATAGAAATAATTTCCTTGGCTCTCAACATATACTTCAAGGTGAAAAGTAGTAGCATATAATGATGCTAATTTTCCCGAAAAAAATAATTCACCTGTATCCTGCATCTGTGTTAAGGGACAAGAATGAAAAAAAAGCTGTTTGAACACATGATCAACATGCTGTCTCCCTGTGAAAAATGAGAAGGCAAGTCACATAACTTGAAGGACTAGGAGCATTAATGTTGTGGAGGGAGACAGGAAAAAAAAATATTTCAGTGCCTGAGAATTATGGTGAAGAACAGCAGTACTTAGAGTGTCAGAGTTAAGTCAAAATGGATTTTCAGTATGTAGTTTGCCAACAGAGGAGGAGTATTCTGTAGTTGAAAAATAGTGTATCAGATAAAATGAAGACAACAGGCAAAAAGTTTACACAGTACAACCTTAGCTTGAATGTTAAGGGCTTGAATCAACAAAAGCCACTTCTGTTGTACTTGGAGGATACATATAAGTCAATGAGATGATGCCAAGCACTCAAGTGCTTTAGAGACAAGCACAGGGTGATAAAGGTTCAAGTTCTAGGCTGAAGAAACAAGGAATACAGCAGAGAAGCTATGTTCATATTAGGAGGGTAGCAACAGTACTATTACGAAAACAAAATTCCTCAAGCAAATAGAAAAAGCAGGAAGCTCTTTGATCCCTTTATGGACTAGGAAGAAGCAGGTGACATTTTCATAGCTGGACTACCAATTACTATTGACACTGAAAAGGAAAAAGAAAAAACCCAAATCCTAAATTTCTTCAGATGAAATTAAACAAACATCAAAGCAGGAGTTGAATTCTTACTTCACAGCAAGTCGATTTTGCTCAGCAGTAAGTTCCTCAGCTTGTCGCCCTATTCCTAGAAAGGAAAGAAAAGTCACATTAGATCTTTTTGAAAGCCATCTCCAAAGCCTTATGTTTGTATCTCATAGACAGGAAGTTCCTAAAGCCCGAGGCTTCAAGATTTCTTTGTCATGAGCAGTTGTAATATAGCTCAATTCCCAACTTTTAGGTCAAGTATATTCATATTCCCTTTATCCTGTTCCTCATGCCCCCTTTTTCACCCTAGATATGCTTCCAGAATTGCAGTCATAGTATTTCCACACAGACAATGCAACTCACAATGCCACCAACTGGCAACAACCCCCAGCAGCCTCTGCTAACAGTCCTGTGCAGGAAAAACCTCTGTTCCCAGAAGCTGCCTGCTCATTTAGGCTCCAGCCTCCTGCTGTCTCCTTGGTGAGAAATGGAGCATTTCACAGCAGGAGGATCAGGCAGTGGAAGAGAAAAGGGCTCTCAAGAAACAGAAGCTTCATGAGTGTGAACTAGCAGCCTGGCTGCCTGCTGCTCTAGCAAACTGAAACTCACAGATTGGTAATAACCTGGAATTGTATAAGGTCTGGACTGGAAGAGTGAACTACTATTGAGTTCATTAGACCTTTGGGGCCAGAGGCAGAGAACAGACTCACTGTCCCAAGAAACCCATAGGAAAATCTTGTATAATAGCCAGCATGGAAGCAGATGTTGCTTACAGCAGCAAATATCTTAATAACCTTCTCTCAGAAGCCTTAGCTGTGCTTACTGTGAGAAATCCTGCCAGCTTCAGCAGAACTCACCATGGGATGACTCACAGCACTTGATGCTGAGCATACACACATAGGTCTTCACAAGATCAGGGGCTTTGTATCACTTATCATTACAGTCCTCAGTGTACTGCCCATAATTATTGATGTGCACATATAAGATTGATTACCTAAAAAGACTGCTGATAAGATGCTCAGATCCCCTCTCTCTTCGCTACTTCATTTCCTCAAAATTGAAAGGGTGCAAACTCCAGGGAAACAATGAAGTGCTTAGTTACTTCAGGAGCTGGTTATTTTGTCCATTTCCATTTAGGGACAGCTGCATCAAATTTTTACAAATTTAGATTTGTCTGAACTGCAAGCTGTCTCCATCTGAGCAACCATTCCATGTGTGGTCATTCACAATCTAATAAGCCTTTTCCATTACCATTAATCTGTAGGAATTTCTAGTCTTCGCTATCACAGCACAGAGTAAGAAAGAAAACAACGTTATTTTACCTACAACTCTGCTTTTCCTACAGAAAAAGCAATTGAATTCCACCTCCCACAACTCATTGAACATGTCATAGAATGGCTTAGATTGGGGATCTTAAAGATCATCTAATTCAAATCCTCCTGCCATAAGCAGGGTTGCCAACCACTAAATCAGGCTGCCCGGGGCTCCATTCAATCTAGCCTTGAATGCCGCCAGAGATGGGGCATCCATAACCTCTCTGGGCAACCTGTTGCAGCACCTTGCCACTCTCTGAGTAAAAAATGTCTTCCTAGCATCTAACCTAAATCTCTTGAAAGCCATTTTCCCTATTAATATCATATATGCTGTCAGTACTACTGACAGCATAAACTTTCTACGTTGATTTTAATGGACGAAGCTGAAGATCAAATACAGCTTTTGATTTGTGAGAATCAAGGATTGCTTCAGAAAGCTTAACAGAGATGCACTATAGCATTTAAACAGTAAATGCAGATACAAAGTAAAATCCAAATTTCATGCCAAAGAAGCAGAGATTACACAAGGAAAAATAGTTGTCCTCATTACTGATAGGACAGTTTGATTCTAGAGAACTGATTAAAACTTAACATCTCTTGTTTTTCTCTACAAAGCATTTTTCGTCTTCATTTGGGGCATCTCACTGAACTACATTCATCTTCTCCGTTATTCAGCCACAGAATGTACTGGGAATAAAAATATTGTCTTCATGGGAAGAAATTCCCTTACCATCATGTAGTTGGCATGCAAGTGTTGTGATCTTCTGTGTAATTATCATCAGTGGACTGTAACAAAGACAGACACAGCAGTTACACATCTTGTAATACAAATTATTCTCAACTTTCTTACTGAATGTCTTTATCCCTTTAAAAGGCATAACTGTATTAGCAACAAGTGGAAAACATCCAATTAAAATTGAAGGAGCAACTCAGGCATAAGACAATTGCCTGAGTTCAAAACAATCCCACAGTAACTTGCACTGGAATTTTTAATTGCTAAGCACACACAAAGCCTTATTTTGTGCCTCCCCACCACACAGCAGTGCAAATTGTAATTCAGAAGTCATGCCATTAAGGACTACCAGATTCTGCAGCCCAGCGCGCTTCGTTCCACGCAAAGACCAAACTCAAGCCCCATAGGATGCAATAGCAGAATACAGCAGTATTGCTGTAATGTAACGCTGCCTTTTCCTTGCTGTTAACTCTCCAATCATCTGTTTCCTCACTGCCTTAAACAAATGCCCACTCTGCGGATACACATACTTATTTCCATATGTGAATAGTCCAATTGATAAAGTGCAAATACCAGAACAGCTCAGAATAGTCAGCATGACACAACATCCCCCCTGCTTCTTGGCTTTGTGACTGCTGTGTGGACAGCCTGCTCATCCAACTGGGAGTGTTTGGCACGTGGGATCTGGAGACTCCCAAACACATAAACTAGGTGAGCCTAAGCCAGGTTTATAGGCTGCAGTGACAACAGCTTTAGGGCCAACCAAACAAGCAATACACAAACAGACATTACATTCAATAGCACTGCTTGTATTTCCAATATCTGGCTTTACAGAGATTCTTAGTACTGTAGGCTGCCACTGCTGATGAACAGGAGAAAAAAAAAAGGCAAAATACAGCTTTGTGATAGAAAGAAGAGGAACAAACGGTGAGAAAAATCAATCGGACCCTCACAAGGAGAAGCTCCATAACTACTACCCATGTACTGCTTTTAAATGCAGTAGAGCCCTAAACACCAAACCCACCATTGAACACCCGTAATCTGGAAGAGTCCATGCCAGGAAAAGGGAGTGAAGAGCATGTGCTGTACTTGCCTCCCTATATTATTCTGCCACTGCAGATCCCAGCACAGGGTGCCCGAGTTCCAGACCCACATAATTCTAACAACCACTGGGCGATGAGGACACAATTACTTTTAAAGCACTATTTACAATGATTACATGTAACACCAGTTCCACTCAAGAAATTTGATTTCTCTGAGGATTAATACAATGAATTATTTCTTAACTTGGTCATAAATTAACAGCATAAGCCATATGAAGGTTTTACCTTGAACATCAATGATGTATTCAAAACAAGTTAGAAGAGGAAAGAGGAAACCTTCTTTTTACAGAGTTTGACTGGTATGAAGAACTTTTTAAAGACAAATAGATGATCACTAAAAATTGTATGGCTATTTATTTTAAACACTGTGACAAATTTTCTGGGATCCAATGAAAGAAAAAAATATTGAAGGCTTTTTTTTTTTTTTGCTCAAGCACTGTATTTACCCCATCCACTTCCCAAGATAAGGAAAAAAGAGTTACATTCCATGATACCTTTGTCTAAAATAACAGTCAAATATTAATATCCTGCATGGTTTTGTAAGAGATTCTGAACCATCCTTACCCTAAACCAACTCACTGGTTACAATCAAGTGTAAATCCAAAGGCTAGATAAACTGTGTACAATCTCATCATCCTCATCATCCCACTGTGATAAATCAAACTGATTTTCAAGATAATTAATATGCCAAGCACAGTAAAAAAGACTACTGGAAAAAGATATTTTTCTCATTCAATGTGGTCTCTTTTTTTAATATACTAAATATATCTGATCTGTTTCAAGAGTCTACACATAATTCTGTGTAGGTAGAGTAATTTGCATTTTCTAACCAAAGCCAGGAGAACATGTCTTATCAGCCAATTTTTTAATCAGAAACTATTTTTATGGTTTCAGCAGTATCCTCTTGAAATATCAGTTAAAATACTTGCACACGAAATCCAGAAAAAGCTTATATGTATATAAATAGAGTAATATAGAAATAGAAATCTGGAATACAACTGTAACACAAGTGTCTCTGCAGCATTAATTCCTGGGTCATCTAGATCACAGATTACAGCTAAAGAATAGACAAATCTAATAATGACTTTTCTTCATTGTCCAGGCAGCTCCAATAATGTGAAAAAGTCATTCTAAGTTTTATTCCAATTAATCTTCCCATTTTATGAAAAGTTCATTACAAGCTGTTTTTGCCAGTACTTTATACAATGTATTTCTCAGGTTTTCCCACTCAAATTCTAGTTTTGCTTTCAAAGATACATAAATTCCAACCCTTTCAGGATACAAAAAGAAGCAGGCTTTTTAATCTTTAGGAGAGAAAGAGATTTTCGGTGAAGCAGCAGTTCTAGTGATATAAACACAGACTTTTATTTTGTCAGTACTTGACCTTTTAGCTCTATGGGTGAACACTAACACTTGTTTAAAATTGCTTCAATTTGTAGTGTGTCTGTCTTACAGCAAGCACTTTATGCTGATGTTGAAGTGTGCAAATTTTAACCTCGGGCTCAGAGCCAAAATTCTACGCCTTTAAGTGACTAAATTTAGATTCTTGTCTTTGAAGATCAGGCCCCTCACTGTAAACCTGAGAGATCCAAAATGCAAACAATTCTGATGAGCTGATTAACCAATGGAAGCAAGAGCACAGCCTGCATTAAAACTGTACACCATGTAAACACAGAGAAGACAGAGGTCATTTTTATCTATATTAGGAATTCATTGTCTCATTCACAGCGCATTGTATCCCAGTAGAACAAATGAGTCTCACGTGCATTTTCATCAGAGAAGACACATCGTCTCCCTCCCTCAAGCCTGAACTCCAGAGAAGATACCAAACACGACTATCCTGGCCCACGGTTGGGAGGGAGACCCTCAGAATGGATGTGAAGCACATTTAGTTCTGCCTCCTGCCACTCTCATGTTACAGATCCACCCATCTATTCCACATCCTGCTAGGGAAGGTGGAAACCTGCTGTAAAGGAGCAATGGGTGACACTGTCAAAATCTTTCACAAGATCAGCATCAGGTATCATCAGACGTTTCACACAATGAGCGAGCAAGGTTTCAGGTGAGCAGGGAGTATCTTCTTCCTCCTTCATCCGCCAATCATTCTCCCTGTGGGGGCCTGAGTCTTCACTGCAAGAGAGGGCATGGCACAAGGCAATAGCAGTGCTGGGACTCTCCATCCTCCTAGCACCCTACTGAGGTGTGGGGCCACCCCTTCTGTACAACCATAGCTTGTCCCACTCCTCCCTGCAGCTCACACATCGCTCACACACACACTGAGCAAGTCTAAAACTGCCTTTGTTTCTTCAGAATAAAAAATATACCCTTTTATACATCTTCACAGAGCAACGCATGAGAACACAAATCTTAAATCAATACTGAAGTCAGACACAGAAAATAAATTTAAGGAAAAAAACTGGGCAAACAAAATAACACCATTTCTTAAATATGTGCATGAGTTCTGATTATTAAAACTTGGCAATATGAGAGCACTGAAGAAAGGAAGTTAACAAAACTACACAACTTCCAATGACCTTTTCTTTCTCCCAGATTTTGAGAGAAATGCATGAGTTATTGAGAGTGGGACAAATTGTTAGGTCAAAATTTTAATACTTACTTAATAATTTAAACAAATTTTAAAAGACAGTCTACCTGCTTGTATTTATAAACAGACCTACCTGCATTTACAGATAAAGCATGAAGATCTACCCTCAGAAGCAGAGCATTTGAAATAAAATATGTGTTTAAGAAGCCCAAAACAGTTGAACCCCATCATATGTGAACACCTTCCAACTGCTTTGCAGCTACTTCCTGTGTTGTATAAATGCACATCTTCTTCTTTCCACCTGTACTACTAAACACTACAGTCACAAACTAGCACAGATATATAGAATTAGATTTTTTGTGATTTCTTCCTCTTTGTTTCATACATTGACTAAGAGTTTAATAACAAATGGTAGCTTGTATTGCACCTCCCATACACATCATATTGGCCAACTTTTAATTAAGAATTCCAAGGAATTCAATATGAAATAGTAATATAATTTTTAGGGAATTTTATGAAATACATTATTAGTATGGAATAATTTCAACAAATAAAAAATCTCTTCTACCTAAATTTAGATGTCTTGAAAAACAAGACAAAGATGCAACAGTTTACAGAATGCTGAATAAGGATGAAGGATTTTACTCCCTTAAGGATGAAGGATTTTACTCCCTTAATTAAACCTTCAAAATGAAAACATGCCAGATCATGTCATTTTCAAACATGACTTGTCCCAGCAGAATAAATTTGCTCAGCAACACAGGCCAACAGAACTAAGGATGCCAGCATCAGTTTGTTGCCTGCTATGGGGATCTTTCCCATATCAGAAACTGGATTCTGCACTAGGCAAACCTCAGTGCTTATGAACCAAGCAGAGTCTGCCTGACCTTAGGTAATCCCATGGAGAAGTCTGGCACACCAGAGCTACAAATAGTTTCCACTGACCTGATTTCACTACGCGAGTAGGTGGAGAATAAGGGCTCATTGCAACAAAAAAGTCAGCAAACATTTCTTTCAGGTTTATCTCTTTAGCCTGGAAAGCAGTACAAGGAGCTCACATAGTCACATTCCACTGTGATATTAACTGAGCTGGCAAAGGGATCACTGAGACAGGGACACAACAGCCTCCCTGGCAACAAGGCTGTATTTCCCCTTTCAACAGAAAAATGAACAACTGAAGCACACACAGAAGGCAAACGTTTGACTATATATGTTCATGCCTACTCCTCCATTCCCAGTTTGCTTCATGTAGGTGTTTTTTTGGTGAAACCTCCCAAATAGTGTTTTTTACATTTTCAAGACAGAAATGTTTCACTTCAAAGATTATCTGATTCTGGAGACATATCCTAGGGCACACCTGATATATGGAGTTCTATGGTATTGACTGACTCCTTGAATCTTGGCTAACTGGTACTTCCCATGTGTGGCTCTTTCAGGACTTCTGTGTAATCAATGGTAAGACATTTCAGAGCAGTTTCAAGTGCACAAAAAGCCTGGCAGAGCAGCCAGGCAGTGAGCAAGCACAGAAACCAGAATAGCCCTTTAAAAAAATAATAATAATCCTGCCTTTACCAGTAGTTATAATAGCAGAAACCAGCCCCAAACTTCAGTGCTCCCTCTGCTTTTGCTCTGTTATATTGTCATTGGATACCTGACCTCACCAAGGTTATCCAGAGCTTCTGGAACATATACTACAATGTACTGCACTGCACACATTTTAAGGAGAAAAAACAAACAAACAAACCCACAACAAAAAAATTAAATTCAGAGGATTGAGTAGCATTTCTGCACTGTGGTTCAACATGGCATTGGGAAAGAGAGTAGATCTATGCCTGTTTTCTGCAATATTATGAAATTTTGCTCAGATAATGCATGAATGCAAAGAGGAAACCAAAAGGCTTTATGTTCTTAATCAAGCAAAGGATTAAAGCAGACATAGAACTTCATATGGATGAGGAGCTACCCTGAATTCTGTCCAGATGATCATATGCATGTGGTATTTGTTCAAAAAGCTTGCTAGATTGAAAACATATCCATTTGTAATTTTCAAAAATCCTGACCAAAATCCCTTGATTTTAACCTAATTTTTCCCTAACACCATAATATTACTATACTCGGTCTGAAGCCTTGACACAAAGAACAAAGATGTATGTTGGTATTACAGCTTTTATAACATTGTATAGAAACCAGGCAACTTACCAGCATAATCCTCTTAGCATAAAGAAAAAATAAGAGAAAAAAAGAGTTAGGATTTAGTTTTCCTAGGTACAATGTATTAATGCTAAGCAAACAAAGCAAAATGAAACGTGCATGTTCCTCCCAAAGACCGATTTGAATGATGGGGGAAGCAGAGAGTTCAGTTATTTTACAATTAGTGTCAAAAAAAAAAAAAAAAAAAGGGAATTGAACTTTCACTGAGGAAGCTGATAGAAGAAAAAATTATGTCACCACATTTTTTGAGATAATATAAATGAAAGAAATATTATTAAATTTAAATGTAAAAAATATATTTTTATATAATCAAAATCTAAGCGTAGCAAACTGGAATTTGTTATCATTATAACCTGTCACACAGTTTAAAGCAAGTGAACTTTTCAACTAAGTGCAATGAAACACGTGAAAACTCAAACCAAGAAGCTGCTACAATTGGCTTAAGCATAGTTTTGATAGTTAGTCAGTGAACAAACATACTGCTGGCAGGACTTAGAAGAATTAACTATTCACCAGTACAGAACAAGTTTCCTTACTTCTTAAACTTGAAGTGATGAGTCACAGCCTTGATCTTTCATTTTCGTTTACTTAAGACATGACTCAAAAGTTACCTTGCTCTCTGTCCACCTCTACGTGCATTTTAAAAGCTGTGTTCTCAAAAAGGAATACGGAATCCCAAAGAAATAGTACAATCATTAGTAAGGAACAAAAAATACATTTACTAACACACATAGAAAGGGTTAAGCATGCACTTTTGTGCACTGTTTAAGCACACAAAGTAGGTCACAAGAGCAAATAAGTTATGCCACAAAGAAAATTTAGGGTCTAAAGCATCTCCCTTATGAGGAAAGGCTTAGTGACCTGGGACTCTTCAGTCTGGAGAAGACTGGGGGGGGATCTTATCAGTGCTTATAAATACCTAAAGGACAGGAGTGAAGTGGATGTGACCAGGCTCTTTTCAATAGCGCCCAGTATGAGAACAAGGGGCAATAGGCACAAACAGAAACACAGAAGTTCCATAAAAACACGAGGAAAAACTTCTTTACTTTGAGGGTTACAGAGCAATGGAGCAAGCTGCCCAGAGAGACTGCAGAGACTCCTTCTTTGGAGATATTCAAAACCTGTGTGGACACTTTCCTTTGTAATCTACTCTAGAGAATTTGCTTTAGCAGGTGGGTTGGACTAGATGATCTCCAGAGGTCCCTTCCAACACCCATGAAAAATTTAATGTCTGATCTGTCTCTGCTTCAGGAAATCAACACTGGAAAGAGCTGATGACACCAGAACAGGTTACATGCCTATGTGACATGTATTAAAACTGCCTTCTTGTAATGCTGTAGCATCACAGCCTTATGGAATACTGAGATCTCAGATACAAATCAGCAGATGACAGGCTTTTTGTTCAATTTAAAGATTCCCCTAAATCCACTGGTTTGCTTCTGCAGTGTCTCCCCAACACTTGTGTTCAGTGAAAAGGCTGGGAGGTTGAAGGGAGATGGACATCACTACATGGACTCTGTTTTGGTAGTTTGTGAAGTCTTGAGAAAGGATTTAAGAACACTGTTCTAGTCAGAAGCATATTTGAATGCTTCCCTTATGTTTCATATATGGAACCATCACACAAGGGAGAATGAGGAGGAGGAGGCTCAGTTTTTGCTTATATATGGCAAAAGCTTGGAGAAGAGGCTTTTGAGAGCCCTCATTGTGGCCTTTCTGTACTTAAAAACAGGAGAGAAACTGATTTTTTTCATGGTCAGGCAGTGAACAGTTGTAAACTAAAAGAGGGGAGATGCAGATGAGATGTTAGGAGAAAATTCTTTATTCAGAGGGTGGTGAGGCCCTGGAAAAGATTTCCCAGAGAAGGTGTGGATGGCCCATCCCTGGAGGTGTTCAAGACCAGGCTGAATGGGGCCCAGGGCAGCCTGACCTAGTGACTGGCAATCCTACCCACATGATGGTTTGGAACTGAATGGTATGATCTATTACAACCCAAGCTATTCTGTGACTTTATGATTTTGTCTCTTCCAGTCATAACATCTCTTTAGATATGTTCACAAAGCCTCAATGGACATGTATTATTCACAGCTGAGGAAAACAGGCTGTAAGAGAGATTTATGAGGCTGATCACATTTTGAGCACTTTGGATGGCAAGTTTTTCTTAATAATATTACAATAGCTTTATTTATTCTTAGTTTTTAAAAATACCATCAAGATTAGTTGCTATCTGTATTACATTATCCAGTTGTTTCCTCTTTGACAGTTTTATGTTGGACTGAAGTCTAGGATTTGGTCCATATCTTAAATATCAGGACAAAAATAAATAACAGAGTAAGTTCAAGTATTAATCTTTCAGTACTATTATTCTCAAGCTCATCATTAGATACGCAGCTCCTTTTTCACCAAGGGAGCAGAAACTGCTACCTAGTCTATAAAATAACCACCATTCCTCTTCTTCCACCCCCAGTCTCAGCTGGATGTTCTCAGACAGAGACAGCTAATATGCCTCACAGTACATTCTGAACGCTATTCAGAAAAGCATGCTCTCTCACATTTCTTTCTCTGTCTAATACACACAGAGCTATAACATTCCAATCCCATTTATAGGCTTCTTGGTATGCCATGCTCATTCAAGACATGCCTTTGTGTATTAAGAAAATCACAAAAAAATTAGAGAACTAAATTTCTCTAAATGTGAGTTCTCTCTTCTGCCCCATTCTCCAATAAAAAACTCTGAAGTCCTTAAAGAACTTTTTTTTTTTCTTTTTTTCCAGAAATGCAGTTAAATGCTCGAACCCACCGTTATCTCACAGGGAGATACACACACACACAGTTTCGTACTTTATGCCTGTAAGAAGACAGAGGATTGGAATAGGAGTCTATAACTGACTATGCCAGTTTACAGAGGTTTTTCATGTTACGTTCATAATTTTTCTGGTCAAACATTCAATTAAACAAATGGAATATGAATTAGCACACTTTTTAAATAACGCAAAAAATACGCCTTTCTCTCATAAACAAAATTTATAACATTAGCTGTCTGTATTTCTGCAAACCATTCTCTACTATTTCCATGAAATCAAATACAGAGAGCTTGGAGTTCTTGTGAACAACACCATTCCACAGACATGCACTGCCCACAAGAAGCTGTGCTATTTAACAACAGCCACAACCTGTCATGACAACAGAGTCCACAACACTAGCTGACTGCACGCCTGTCTGCACTGCTCACTCACACCCCAGCTCCCCCAGACACTTGCCCCCAAGCCCCTTCCCACCAGCTGCAGCCCCTTGCTAGAAAACTCTTTCCCCATCATGCTACAGAGGAATCCAGACCCCCAAATCCCCTCCAAGATAAACAGGAAAGGAAAAAGGGATGACTTGGAGCCAATGGAGGTGCCTGGAAAGGTGGGATGCGCAGCCCACCCCTCAGCGCCAGTCTCCAAACACAAGGGGGTGTGCAGGCTTCTCCAAGTGGAACCAAGACCTACCTTCCTGGCTAGGTAGCATCTCACAGGAAAACAGCAGAAGCAATGAGTCACTAAAACCAAACAGAGTTTATTTCTTCCTTCTTTAAAAAGATCTTAGAAAAAGGTTAAGGCAAAAAAAATTGCAGGCCCTCCCAGATAATATCAACATTACTCTCAAAACATAATTCAACTAATATTAATTTATACAGGGAACACCCTGCAGACTCACTCACCCAGAAAAATCTGTAGTCAGAATACCATAATGAAATATGTATATTCGGCTTATGTGGCACAAGGTGAGGTATCCCATAGCTACAACAAAGGAGTACCTAAAAACATAAGATACAGAATACATAGTTACTGACACGAGTACCAACAAGAACGGAATCACTCATATTGGGTTTGAGCTTGTTTAGGAGCATGGTTCCATCTTTGCAAACAACATTATTCACAAGTCTAAATCAATGTTAAAAGATCTGGCAAAAACCTAAGTTCTAAGAGGATTTTTAAGAGGATTTAAATGTAGCTGAAGCATTATAGAGATGTCTCCTTACACTGTTAAAAAAAAAAGATCATTCCAAGCATTTTGATTTCAGAGTTCCCCCTCCCACATACTATTTGAAATTTATCTCACTCAGCCATTTTACATCCAGTTATGTTGAGTGCGTGTAGCTGAAGTTATCCATTACCTTTTTCTATCCGCAAATGCCCTTTGTTTACACATACAACTCTTCCTGAATCACTGGAAATTAAAATATTTAAGATATTTTCTCTTTTCTGATTATGTATGAAGCTAGGTAATGACACATACCCTAATGTTTTCAGCTTCAAGTGCTGAATTATGCCATTTTCCAGAAGAAGCGGTTACTTAAGCTTGACAAATTCACTCTCCATTTTTCAGGATGACCACAAAATTGTTAGGCAGGAGAACAGCATGACATTTTCCATTATAAGAGTTGAGCACTGCAGCATCCGGCTGTGACAGATGCAGCCTTTCCCATAATTAATTTCTCCCTGCATATACCCAAGCAAGAAAGAAGATACTGAGGAAATGAGAAGGGAATGGACACTTGGAAACAAGACTGCCAAGTGAAGTAAACTAGACAGTAAAAAGGTGAGCTGAAAGGCTTACATTCCATGAACTTCAGATGGGCCAGGACCAGGTCAACTAGTGTCCCTTACATCAGAAGCTAGCTACACGGCAAAAAGCATCCAGAATAAGTTGGATCAGAGAAGGGAACTAAAGGCAAAATAGAACAAGAGCAACAGTCAGCAGGCTGAAAACTAGACATGCCTTCCTCAGATCATGGCTGGCTATAAATGAAATAAGCTTTTCCTCTCTGGGGACTAATAAACTGCAGTGTGAGTGACAGTGATGGATTTGAAGACAAGGATCACAAGACAATCTGCAGTTCCTGCGGCTGAAGCAAACAGCTGGCTGAAAGGCAGACTGAGGGGACACGACAGCTTCTTCAGGAGATTCTGAGCAGAATCTGTCTTACTCTATCTCAGTCAGGCATCCGATCCAATTCCTGAGGCTCCTTCTCATCAACTGAGAATGGCAGGTCACCCAGGTGAGACATGTAACTGTGATAGATGGGATGAAGTATGTAAAATAAGCCTTGATGCTCAAGTTAAAAGATTGAAAGGGGAGCAATGACCAGGCAGAGATAATAGCGAATTGCTGTTGCAGCTTGGAACATTTCCAATGCTGGATTAATTTTTCAGCTTACAAGTCTTGAAGGACTGATAGCTTCACCAGAGAGCAAACTAGCTGAAAATAACCAGGGATAGGTGCATGCACATTAAACTATGTTGTTGCTTTTATTTCCTTTGTTCACTTCCACCTGCATTTTGGGGAGCGAGAAGAGCCAGCTCTTGGACTCTCATTACAAAGGTGTAAGTGTTCTTAGAGGACCTCTGTATGCAAAGATCCAGCCACTACACTTGAATTTTTCAAGCTTATTCTCATGCATTTTAAACACATAGTAATTTTGCTAAAATTAATACGGATGTACTTCAAATCTAGTGAAATAAAATGGAAGCCTAACCCGTTCTTCGCAGACCTCCTGAGGTTTTTCGGCATGCTGACTTACTAATTCACATCAATTCTAGTCCACACATGACTATCTTGCAGTAGTGGGTGACATCATACCAACTGGCTTAATCTGTGTTGCAACTTACAGGTGTTTCTCCCATTATGACTAACTGGCTAAACAATGAGAGCAGGGAGGTTTCCTGTTGAAATCATGCCTATATCCCTACACCCACACTAACTTGTCTAAGAAGACAGAAACATTGAATGATTACTTCTGTATCGTGGTTCCTACAGTTCATTTGTTTCACATAAATGAGTTACTTCTGCATTTCTCCAAGGGATGGGCAGGTACAATGCCTGGGCAACAAATAACATACACTTTAAGCACCTTTTCCTTCTGGCCTCTGGATGATATTTCTTTCACAAACACTGCCCAATTGCATTTAAAAAAATCTTAATTATCTCTGGACTTGTAGGCTTTGCTTTTGTATTCGGTGGGGGGCCAGTAACAAAATCTTCTGCATTAAGATTATTATGCTGGTGCAAAATGCTATTGGCTGCTATAAGACAAGCACGTTGCCCATGGTTCACACTTCTAAGCAATCTTAGACAAGTTGTAATGGATGGTTTTCATTTGGATATCAGAGAGGTGCTACCTCAGGAAGCGCTAGAGAAGAAGGGAGATCAGAACATTGGATGCTCAGACAGTCCTGGCCCTGAAGACAAGCGAAGAAGGAATTTAGAGATCCACAGTTCAGACTGATGTGAGTTCACTGTGCTGCATCCATTAGTAGCTGCAGAAAGAGCTATGCAGAGACAGAAATAACCTGTAAACACCCAAACCAAAACACGTTACAAGCCATGTACTCTTAGGGATGCCAACACAGAAGTAAAGTGGGAAGAACTGCCACCCGAACCCTCTAGCCTGCTGTAAAATAGCAGTTTCAAAAATAAAATTTCCCAGTTCTGCACATTGATGGGAAACAAATAAGTCCACCTACACAATTTTAAAAACTTCTACTTGCTGAACTCTTAACAGAGACCCCCATGAGAATGCCAAATGACTGATCAGAGAAGTTCTTTCACAGCAACTTCCTCTTATTCAGTGCAAGAAGCAGATGTAACTTCCATGTAGTTTTCATTTTTAAGAGAGTGCTTTTTGTCCTTCAGCTAGGAAAGCACTCACTTGATAAAGCCCTTTGTGTGTCTTGGGTGTCTTTCTGCAAGACACCTGTATAGGGAAAAAAAAAGATCCCATGGTTGGGAACTTCTCATGGGGATGCTATAAGTTTCTGCTCCAAAGTAATAACACATGTGGTACTTTCTACTTTTTCAAGCTTCAAGTCCAGTACCTAATGCAAGACTTATTTCACAGATCACTAAGTTAAGTTGCCACAGTGACCTTAACTGAACTACTTAACTCAAGAATAAGTGGAAAATACCTAAAGGCCAAGCAGCAAGGGGAAGAACACATTAAAAAGGATGATTGAAAGCGATTCTCAAGGACACACTACTAAGGAGAATATGACTTCATTAAGTTAAAAAAACAGAAGCTTGGGCATAAATTACTAACCCCGCAAAAGCCTACTTCTGGGTCCAAAAATTTCACAGACAAATTCAATGTACCAATGCAAAAACCACAAATTGAGATTACAGCTGCTTCTGTAACTGAAAGAACAAAGCTTGTGCAAGTAACTCGGAAAGAAAGGTAGTGAAGAAGAAAAAGCAGAACTGAAAAAAAAAAAACACATTTCTCAATGAAAGGGGAGGAGATCAGAGGGCAGTTCCAGTATTGCCACCACATGTGCTCACCTGTGGATGTTGGGAATACTCGCCATATTCATAATGCCATAATTCATCAGCACCAGGACAAAAAGATGAATGGAATACCTTGAAGACAACAAAGTGAATATTTAGATAATTTCTACGTGACCTGGAAGGCCTGGCAGTTTGGAGTGAAGGAACAGTTTCTCATGCGAATGGCATAAATGTGATGCTGCATCAGAGCATCAGAAAATATGGATTATCACAATGACATTTTTATAGCCTGAATACCAAATATAGATTGACTCTTATTGACAAGATGTTGTCAGTCTGTTTCATTCAGAGAAAGAGCAGCCTTGCTCAAAGAGCTCATTCAAACTGGATGCATTTTTTCCAAAAGAGCTGTCTTCACAACAAACTGGTGTGACTAACTGCCATAACGAATATCACAGATTAAATATCTCACTTACAAATGCTTTTGTGGCTCATTTTACTTTGTAGGCTTGGGGCGGTTATGCTGGTATAAATTTTGTCACTTTTTCTAAAGGACTGCAAAATTAAGAAGCTCTTAAGACTAAAAAGACAACCCAGAAAGGCTGATACGAAGTTTTAAATTTTTTTTTTATCCAAGCCTTGCCTGCTTAGTAATTAAATACTCACCACCCAAAGCAGAAGACAGCAAAGTATATTCCAAAGAGGGTGGCAAATGCATGGCGAACAGCAGAGCTGGCATGACTGGGACCCAAGTAAATACGAAACCAAAAGGCAGCCAAAAGGGCAAATAGTTGACAGGCTACAAAATTTATCTGTAAAAGACAAACAAAACAACAACAACAAAAAACTTGTAATTCTTGGAGGTGAAGGAAGAGGAGTCTCTCCATTCTCAGAGCAACAAAGAACAGAGCTTGGGAAGGGGAAAAGTGAGAGAAATGAATCTTTTGTTTGTTTCTCTGAATTCTCATTTGTGATTCCAAGTGGTAACCTTCCTTGGCCAACAAAAGAAGAGACTAAACAAAAGCACAGCCATCTGAAAATTCAGAGAAAAGCAAGAGCAAGCTGCAGCTCAGTCACCAGCACAGCCCAGGTGCAGAGGACATCCACTCCCTCTCTGTCCTCCTTGTGCAAGGCAGAGACCAGAAAGCAGACTGGTGCTCTAAATTACTGCCTCTGTGCCTTTCTCCACAATCCCCAAAACAAGGCCGTATCAACAGATCTGACGTGAAACACTTCCGCAAGCAGTATCTGGACAGCTTTGTTGGCTAGCTGAAAAGCTTCACCTCCGAGGAGGCTTTTCAATGTGCCATTTTTTTCCAAAGTTCAAGAATGAAAAAAACCAGCCTTGCTCTACCACCATGCAGACAGCTGAAGTAAAATGCTTGTTAATTGTTCTGCTGCTGCTGCAAGTCTCTGATGTGCCTAGGAACCAGTTGTAAAGATGGAAGTAGGAGCAACAGGACAGGGACACATAGAGGACAAGCAGTTCCTGTCAGGCACAAGGACAAGCAAAAGCTGTAGTGTCCTCAGAGTAATGTAAAACAACACCAAGTTGTTTTCTTCCAGTCACCTTCCCTTTGACAGCTTCAGCAAAAGTCACAAGAGGCAAAGGAAGAATAGAGCTCAGGAGCAGCCTCTAAAAGAACAGCAGAGGACTTGGATACCACATCCAAAACTCCACCCTGGGCCCTAGACAGATGGAGTTAAATTCATTTATTCAGCTACAGCCCTTTTTATTTTAAATTCATTCTGAGCTCTCCACCAGCATGTCATCCTAGAATGAGCAAAACTAAATAAGCTGCAACATTTTAGCAATCGCTTGGATTAGACGATTATCCAAAGATTTCAGTCCAGGACAGGATGATATATCACAGTTGGAAATGCTCTGACATGCTGGCTGCCCAGAGCTTGTTGGATTCAACCAGACTTCTTGTCAAAAACATTTACAATGTGCTTAATAAGACACTACAGCCCCCAGATTGTTTTATTCTGGTAAACAACATCCAACACGGTGCTGTTAAATCAAATGCTTTCATTAAAAGGTTTGTTGGCTACATTACTGCCTGCATCACTGAAACAGGGGAAATGCAGCAATGCAATACAATAATGCAATTATTCAAATACTTGGATTCACTTAATTTTCTTACTTTGTAGCAGGAACAATATCTATTTATTAATTGTTCTCATAAATTACCAGCATCTACAAACAGAAGATATCACAGAACTATAACTGAAGGAATGAATTGGGGATGTCTTATCATGACAGTATTTTATACTTTCCTTGAATGCTACAGTTCTTACTTTTTAAGTCTTACACTGAAAACAAGAAAACAAAATGACACTGGTCTCACAAAACCAAAATGCTGTGGCACAAATTCCAACCTCTCATCTGATTTGTTGTAATACTATACATTCAAAACAGTAAATCGTCCCACTTCTCCTTCCACAGAAAAATGGCTGTAGCGAGAACATCCTCTACAGGGTTATTCTGACTGCATCCTTTCTACGTAAATTTCCAGGTCTGATGGATGCATCCAAATAAAAACTCAGTGAACCTTAAGTTTGCCTCAATATGCTCCCACTTATGGTTATACTAGTATATCCAGGGAGGCTCAACTTCGTGGCATGCAGAGCCCCTCTCATTCACTATAGAGAAAGAAGAGACCAAACAGTTCAAGAAACATGATGTGGCCAATTGTTTAAAAGGCAATATTCCCTTCTGTGCAACATTGTTCATGGAAGCTTTACACCATGAAAAAAGCATCAAGATAAGCAACGCTTTCTTTTTTATTTTCATCTACTTGTATGTTCAGTCTGAGATGTTAAAGATGCTGGGATTCAGAGGTTCATATATGCTGCTAAATTCAGTGTGAGATTCCATGGCAGACAGACTCATGTCAGCATTTATATAGTTTATATGACAGGTAACCACAGCAGCAGCAGAAAGCAAGCAACAGCAACTTCATCACAAGCTAACATGAAGTGCCTAACAGCATGGCAGCCGTGTGTGCATACCCTGCTGCTACCCTGTACTGCTGCTGATACACCAACCATGTCACTGTAACATCTTCACTTCATTGTGAAAATTCACCAAGAAAATTTCTTCCCTGCACTGCTTTAGCTGGAGTTGAAATAAATCCCTGTACCAGGATAAAGGGAAAAGCAAACCCTTGCCTTAAATTCCATTCTGCTTACAATGTTTAAGGGTTTTCTTTGCAGAGCAGCTGAACATCAATTGCATAATATATGCAGCCAGTAACTATCTCAGAATACTGGGGTTCATTTACATTTTTTAACTGAATTTCACTAGGAAGTAGCTTATAGAGGAATGGTTACAACATAACATTAAAAGATAGATCCAATTTTAAAAAAAAAACCTAAAGATAAGCCTTTCTAGATCTGATTTAAAAAAAAAAAAAAAGGTTAACATTTCAGGATTTGTAAGTGACTGTGATATTCTCAGAGACATAAACATACACCATAATTCCTGAATGTAATTTGAATGTTACATGACATACCACGACAGCATAAGGGAAGTGAGAAGGCTGCACTCAATGCATTGTTCAGGAGATCAAACCCAAGATACAAAAATGAAAAAAAAAAAAAAAAAAAAAAAAAAAAAAAAAAAAAAAAAAAAGCAATATAAAATGCAGAAAGAAAAGGCTTTCATATTTTTCTGGCAGGCAACCATGCCCCAAAATACAACATGCTGCATTTGCTTGTCTACCATTACAGTTTGCAGACTTCTTTTTTTTTTTTTTTTTTTAATTATACTCTTCTGGATTCTCTCCCACAAAATAACTAGCATCTACACTCGGTTTGTAGCTCCATCTCCTTGTAAAGCATGTAATAGGATGCCTAACACAAATAGGCCAGCTCCAGATCTTCAAACATGATATAGCAGAAACACAGAATCAAACTGAAGGTGTGCCAGGGAGTCATAATGCTTCTGGAGAAAGCAAGATGAAAGCCAAGCAAATATACCTACTACTGATAAAACTGCTATTTGATATCTGTTGGGGAAAATAAATAATAAATAAATGTGAGCATGGAGGAATAGTTTCCGTACATCTCCACCTGGACACCTGCACAAGAAAACAAAAGCACCACCATGACTTCGGATTTACATGAGGTTCAGTCTGAAGATCAAATGTAGCAGCACAGAGCTCCCTGAAAGGTACAGCACTGCAAGACTAACTTTTAGTTAACTTTCTACTGTGAGTACTCAATCTGTGTGGAAGGTATAATTCCTTGTTTAAAACTGAGCACTGAACCTAGCTCTAGATCTGATCTATTATCCCACAGAATAACAGTGATAGCTCTTCATATGACTGCCATCTCTATTTGTTTATTTATACATAACATGGTAACACATGCACTCACACGCAGACATCAACACTGCTGGTTCACTTGACAGTGACTTTACCACACTCCATTTAAAATGCATCCTATTCTTCACTATACACATTCAAGGTGCTTAAGTGAATATATTCCTGAGAGTTTAAGAAAGCCTGTAATGGATCACAAGCAAATTATGACTCACACTTTCCTCCCCTTTCCAAATAGCAAAGAGTTTATACTATTCACTATCAGTTATTTTCACTGTTGCTAAAAACAATTTGTAAACAGTAAATTGGGGACTTCTGAATTTTAATGAATGGTGTCCAAACAAAAATAATATAGAAACAGAAAATAAACCATATGGGAATTAACACTTCTCACAACAACTCATCATGATAAATCACTTAGCCCATGTTTTATCTAATTACACATACTCAACAATGTCAAGAAAAAAAAAAAAAAAACTTTCCACATCAACTTTTTAGTAGAAAATAAACACCTTTGCCTTTTACACAATTCTTTTTTCCATGATCCAGTGAGTAAGATGCAGTAAAATTGGAAATCAGAACACATGACATTGACAAAGTAGATAATATATTCATTTCCTGTAATAAAACTTTAGAGGACATAAAGCCTATCTCATCACAGCATCCAGCACTAACATATGAAAGTCTTAAATCTCAGTCTAAGCTAGCTTAAGGCTGCCTTGAAACACAAAAGTAGGCATCTCCAGTTTTGGAGAGACAAAGTGTGGAAGCTTCAGCTCAACTGGAGTGATGATAACTGTTGTTTAGTTAAAAAAAAAAAATCACAATAACACAGAATTTCTAAAGGAGGAAAGAGACAAACAAGGATCATTTAGTTGAACTCATTCCTACACATGGGATGACAAAATATTCAAAACCTATGCCTATGAGCGTTGCCCACATGCCTCCTAAACTGCAAAGGCTTGCTGCCTCAACCACTGCCCTGAGGACCTTGTTTTAGTGCCTGATCACCCACTCAGTGAAGAGCAAAACATAGGCAGCTGTGTCCATCGTGATGCCCGGAGGTCACAGGGACAGCAGTTGATGGGTGTAACCAAACCTGGCTGTATTGGGCGTGGGGGTTCTTTGCTCTGACAGACAGCTTCACGTGAAAGACAGAAAGGCTTGAGGGGAACTGGAGGTCCCTTTTTAGAAAATGGCTTCCCTGTGCCACTTTGCTATGCAGAGGGATAGATTGCCATTGGACACAGATACTGTCCCATGCCATCATCTTCCCTTTGCTTGAAAACCATGCATGAGCCCCATATCATTTACTGAATGGTGGCCATAACTGTGCCTCCTAATGCTGGGTGAACAACAGTGGCTGTGTCTTATGCCATTCTCTGAATGATGACGACTGTGTCTGTGCCTCTCAGTCTTCTCTGACTGGTTGGCGTGTCTTGTCTCCAGGCTGCTCTCTGGGCATCCAGCGTGCCTGGACCTCA